GGAATGAGGAATGGAAGAACCACTCTGCTCTTGACCATCATGACTTGTTTCAAACCATCCAAAGCATAAGCTCCTTTTTCTTCATCATCAAGTTGTTTCAACAGATCTGGCAGTATGTCATCTAACGCTTTGTGTCCTACAAAATAAACATTGCATTAATGTAACTAATTAATGTGGAAGTGAGTCCCACGTTGTAAGCAGGGGATGGCGGGAAGGGAACCCAGAAAAGTGCCTGTGTCTTTGAAATTTAAGCAGATCGAAAGCTCAGATTAAATTTTACGGTCTGAGTACAGTGATTTTCCTACATCCAGATCTGAAAATTATTCAATCTGCCTTCAGCTCAAACAGACCTCGAATTCCAGTGAAATGTGGTCAGTACCCTGTGAGGAGGAGCTACATGTACAATTGTACAAGTTATTTCCAAAATGTAAATTTTGTTTTATTTAGTAAAAATTGTTTAATTTGGACAGAGGATTGACAAAATTAACAATGACGCCACTCTATTTCAAATAAATTCTCTGTGGAGCTTGTATTAAACCAAAGATTGACAACCGACTGACCATATATAATGTATATTTCTACAAGGTAATGGGGCCAGTTGCCTTCAGAGGCTGGGTCTTTTGATTGACAATGCCTGTCTCAGCATTTCTTTTTATTGATAGACCTGGACCATCTGTGGCTTTTATTTTTTCCCCATCCCACCACATACTGATACCAGGCATCCATCCTACCAAATATTCCTTCCCAAAACAGCATTTATATAAACCTGAATCATGTGTGGTTTTAATTTTTTCTATGCCTCTCCACGTACTCATTATTTTTATTCCACACATTCAATCCGCCAAAAATATTAATCCTGCCCACTCAGCATTTTTTTATCCAAATCTGGATCACTTGTGGTTTCAATTTTTTCCTGCCCCACCCCATTAAACATTATTTAGAGAAAAGAATTATGTATATTCGGAATGGAAGAAACCACAGAGGCCAGATAGAAATAATTTAAGTCCTGCAAAATGTTTCTTCAGTCTGGGATATAACATTTTAAGTTTTAAGGAAAGTTCTGGGAAAAAACTGAGTCTGGTGAAACTTTTCTTGAGTCTGAAAAAATAATTTGAAAACAGGGACAATTGTGGCACGGGAAAATATTCTGAGGCCAGGGATAATTAATTTGAGTGCAGTTAAACATTACTGAATCCAGCATCCAATATTTTGAATCTAGGAGAAAAATATTCTCAACTCCACGAAAAATATTGTGAGTCCTGAAAAATATGAATCGGGTAAAACATTTTCAAAGTCCAGGAAAAATATCTGTGGCTGGGAAACCAACAAAAGGGTATGAGAAATATACAGGTACATGTACTGAGCTCTGTAAAATATTCTTGAGTGCTGGGATAAAATATTCTGAATCTTGAGAAAGTATTCTGAGTCCAGCGACAGCTCTGAGTCTTGTGGACAGTACCGATAGTCCAATGAAACATAAGTTCTGATGCAGAGAAAAATATTGCGGGGCAGAAGAAATATTCCGAGACTGGAGAAATTTCATTTTAGATATTCCTGGGTCCAGGATATAATATTCCGAGTCTTTGAAAAATATTCTGAGTCAGAGAAACACTATTCTGAGTTTCTAAATATGAAAAAACATTCTAAAGCTGGAAAGAAAGCCGGGAAAAATATACCAAGGTTGAGGAATGAATTGCAGCATGGCCAAAACTAATACCCAATGAATATATTTGGGGCCCTCTGGTAATTTAACTGGTTTTGTCTCCTCTCTACTTCTCCCTCAAAAGCACCAACCACAGTAAGGGAAGGTAATAATTGATGTCATTGTGACCGCAGAATTTTTTTTCCGGCCAATGATTGACATGCCTTCATTACTTGGTAATAGGGGTATCTGGCTTCAACTTTTACAACCAATGATAATTAAGAATATGTACAACTGATATTTTGATTGGTTTCTTGTTTTCTTTTTTTATTTTTATGTCTCAGCGATTGGTATGTTGACAGTTGAGTGTGGAGGATCAGGAAGGGGGTTGATGACTGTGGTTCGATAAGCTGGGAGGGTCGTTAAAAATGTACATACATGCCAGGCGGTAGGCCTCCTTTATGAATACAGAAATAATAACACACAGGAACAGAAAAATATTTGGAGAGTGGGCCATCTGTATGAACTGTTGAGCCAAAAAGCCTTCTTGTTAGTGGACTGTTGTGACAACTCCATAATTTTGTTTAACCTGTTGGACAAAATTCAAAGCTTTTAACAGTGAAAATTGCCGGTATCAGATGAGCCTCAGTGTCTGTGATTCTGTCGGCCCGCCGCAACTGCCAACAGGTACCTGGAATGTAGTCATCTGTACCATTTGTTATGCAGGATCCCTAAGTAGGTCAGCTGCACAGAGGGTAGGCCAGTCGGGGCGTACCGACCCTTGGCACTGTGGGGCGCGCTGCAGCGCACCAATTAAAATCTTTTTGACATTGTGCCTATTTTAACAGGAGATGTTTCTCACCAATAGTGGCGTGTAGATTATCAAATGTCTTTGCAGCTGTCTCTCTGACCTCAGGCAAAGGGTCACACAGGGCTTTCCTGACGGTAGGTACAATGTTATCTACAAAACCCAAAACCTGCAATGCAACACAGAAATATCTTTAAAAAATGGGCTTTAGTGTTACTTTTAATGTTTTCACCTACTGCTTTACTAAAAAATATCCAAGAAATATTCCCTTCTAAAATGTCCATTTAGGAAAAGAGGGAGAGTATCAGTTGCAAGGTAGAAAAATGACCTCTCCCCGGTGGCAGAGGTGGCATGCCATGGAAAGGGCTCCAATTATGACGTCTAACAAAAGCCAGCTAAAACAAGTGACAAATTTTGGGTTGAAGCATGTTGCATTACCTGTTCCTTGCTGGTTGATCCCATGATCTCACTCAGACCTACACACACCCCCTGGCGCTGGTCACTGTGCTGGGATTCCAGACCTCTCTCTAAGATGGGGATGATCTCAGGAAGCACTCGGTCTCCTAACTTCCTAACAAGATCCCCTAGAGTACGAGCCGCAACCTGGATGTAGTAATGTCCAATCACAGTGTTTGTTGAATATCATGGAACCAATACAATTCAACACACATTAACCACTACAAACACGCTTGAAGGCATAAGTCCCACTGATTTACACTTTTTTCCATTGAGTGCAAGCTATGGGTATAAATTAAAATATTTCACGTAGTGCTATGCAGACAAGCATAGGGCAAGTACCTGGACTTTTTGAAGCACTGTAATGCACAAAGAACATATGAGAGTTGGACTGATGAGCACTGGTGAGGCATGTTCATCTTTGATTTAGTTAGCTAGTTGCATTACATTGATTAGGATCCCACTCAAATGCTTCTTCAACTTGTATTAAAAATATATTTAGAATAGGCACTGAGGCGCAACATGACTCCTGAAATCCAGTTGGTTCCATTGCTTTGCTTTTCTTTTTGAGTGCTAGATTTAAAACTCCGTTTGTATACTGCATTTCAGTAATGGATTAACTATGTCGTCACCTATACACTCAATTATCATACACCCAATAAAGAGCATAATTGTGCGATGAGCTGATAGCATGCACAGGCATAGCACTTTACTGAAAACATCACTTCACGTTATGTTATACCAGGAAACAAGACAACATACAGGAGAGTTTCTATGTCGCTTGAATACCCACCTGTCTCTTGTCATAACCAGTACTAGCCAGGCAACCCAACAGCATCCCAAAGAGTGTTGATAGGATCTCACGTAGAGTGCGAGGAGTATTCACAACCACCACCTTCCAGACATGTAGAGCAGCTTGCCTAACCATCAATGCTGTATCAGACCGACCCATGTACAGTCCAGCCAGAACACGATTCCTTCTCTCAACGCCCAACACTTTCAGGATGGACTGCAATCCAGCAACATCAAGGCACATTTCAATGATATCATCCTCGCTTACTTTCTTACTTTAATTTGCTGGGACTTTCTTCCCTAATTAAACTGTTTTCTTAGTGGCTTTTTCATAAGTGATGTTTAAAAAGGGTTGAAATAGAAATAGTAGAGTAAGATAAATTCAGCTCAGTCTAGGAAGTTAACAACTGAAAACATGCAGCCTGTGACTGTACATACATGTGACACATGCTTGACTGGAATGTAGAGTTGTTGAATTTGTTCAGTTAAAAGGAAAATTAGAATAGAAAAAATAAACACTTTTTTATTTCAAACTTAAACTGAAAACTGGTAGTGATTACATTATGAAACATTTAAACCACTTGAAAGAATTGTTGGACATTCAAGAAGGGTAAGTTACACTGTCCACAAACACATACAACTCCATGATAACATTTGATATGAAAAAAGATGCAAAGACATGAACCACTAATCTGGGAGAAAAAAGAAAAAACTGGATGGCCGGTACTAACCTTGGTTGACTGCTCTGTTCCAAAGTTATCATCCTCTCCACTGACTGTTGACTGTTTACCTGTGACCCCTGACACTCGATACAGCAGGTCACCAAGAAGCTGAACGGAGCTATGACGGATTCTCCAATTATCATCAAACAAACCCTTCTCCAGCTCAGGTAGGAAGACAGATATTGATGTCTCTGCAAACATGTGAACAATGCGCTGACCTGCCCGTAAGGCAGTATCCCGTACAAACTCTGATTCATCAGCTAGGGCCTGTATTGAGCAAAAAAAAAAAGGTTAAGCCACTCCATCATTTTTGGACATAAAAATTCATCAATATCAGACTCGATATGTGCAGTTTTACATACCTTTGAAGTTTTCTGTGAAGAAGTTAAGCCAGTCAGCATATAGTATCTTGATAAATCATGAGAAACTAAATCAAGTGATGCGCATAGTGACTGAATGAGAAATATACACTACTTCTAAACTCTAATTACATTATGTTGGTGGTTTGGATTGGCTCCAAACCTAGTACAGTTTAAAAGAAAGTCTTACTTTCCATTTTGATCTTGAAAAATATAATATTTCTTATGGCATGTCAAATTTCACTAACATCAAAAACATTCTAACTTTCCACTGCTTCCCTTTGAGTCAACTGGAATGTCTACAGAGACATTTGACAAAAACTACAGCTATGCGTGAAAGAAATGATTTAATTGGTAAGAAATCCCTATCTGTAACACTGTAATTATCCATGCGTTTTCGTTTACCTTCAAGATAGCAGGGATAACTTTGCCAACATACACTGTGAATTTGTCGCCAAATGTTCCTGGTAGATAGATGAACATCATGATGTATCCGTCTCTGACATGAGGAGGGATATCTGGTGCCTCAGCTGTCTTGATAATATCAGGCATCAACTTGGCTAGCTTCTCCACTCCCATACCAGCCATGACCTCGCTCAGACCTACAAACAAACCATCATTCATTCCTTGCCTTTAAAAAGATTTACTCATGAAAGGAGCCCTTGAAAGTCAATTGCCTAATTATTAAAGAGAGGTCCACCATATTCAGGGAGACAATAATGATGAGAACACAGATTTCAATGCTGAGATAAACCCATTTGACCAAGTTCGGCAGAAGACATTATCCACATGGTGTACCAAACTGAAGTTGAAGAAAGGTGACTGGAGTTGGATGGTGAAATGCATAAACTCTATGTATAAGCAAGAGATGAGGTGCTGTTGAATAAAATTATCCCTCTGATGGGGATGTGCATAGGTCGATGCGTGCTGTGTGCAGGGTGCACTAAGCATGAGTGAAAAATTTCTGTTGGAATGTAAAATCTTCACACGCCCACCGGCCACTATGTTGAAATGCTCACCATTAGACTTTCTCTTCTTTGAAGTTGAGGGAATAATTCTACAAAGAGTGGACAGTCATGTGAAAACCTGTTCACAATGCCATACTCCTAAGCTGGCCACTAAAGCCATTCTGAATGGGTGACCCAAGTAGCAATAGTTTATAAAATCCAGGCACAAGTTCCCCTCAGCAGTGACAGAGAGACAGAAAGGCCCAGAATGAACAGCCCAGTGCACCATGCATCTATGATTTCTCATCTGTATCTGAATGACAATTGTTACTCTTCAAGTTATACCATAATTTTTGACCCTATTCATGCTGGTGTGAAAATGATGCAGTGTCATAATGTTTCAATGCCTTCTTAAATGATGAAAACAGAAAACATTCTGGTATTAATTATCTTGATGACTTCAGATACATGCAGAAGAGGCACCTGGGTATAGTACATTATTATTCAAATCAGTCTTTATGTGCAAAATAAAGATCAGCATATTAAGCTGTTATCAGAAGAAGTATGTTTGATATGTTCCCCTTGAATTAATTCTGCTGGTTCCCTATCAGTGAAGAGAACAGAAACCCTCAGACATTGGTGAACAGTGAGTGGGGGTGTCCCACCCATGTGCTATTGTCATACCATGTTATTGGGCTTGCTAGCACCATGCACATGTGTTGCCACAGAAATAGAAACGCATTGGGAAGAAAGTTTGGATGATGAACCAAAGAAATCTGAGCATTTTTTGATCCAAATTAATTCTGCATAAATTAACTTATCAGCATGACATGATTAGTTATTCCCCGAGTATAAAATGGAACACAAAATGATATAGCACATCTGCATCTCACATACCAAGAGGCATGACACTAAGTGGTATGTGGGACACAAGAGGCATGACACTAAGTGGTATGTGGGACACAAGAGGCATGACACTAAGTGGTATGTGGGACACAAGAGGCATGACACTAAGTGGTATGTGGGACACAAGAGGCATGACACTAAGTGGTATGTGGGACACAAGAGGCATGACACTAAGTGGTATGTGGGACACAGAGTGTGATGGGAGTAGGATAACCAATTTATTTGCAAGCAAAACTGATGCACAGTAAAAATGGAACAAGCACACTGTGCATGAAACTACACATTATTGACAAAACAGGTCAACTAGTATTGGAAATTTGACACTTTAATTCAGTAATCATCCTGAAACTTAATCACATGGTATTGGAAAATGTATTGGGAAACCTACTGGATGGGCATCTACATACTCCTAAACCAAACTGGATGGAAACATGCTATGTTGGAATTAACAACTCTGCATGTTGGGCAATTCTATTTTGCTTGAGCTTGGCAGAGTGCCATATGCAGAATTAAGCAAAATACCTGGAATGCACTACAGACCATGCAGTATTGCTGCTGTGGATTGACCAATCAGGTTTCAGAATACAATTCTGCTTGAGGACAAAAATAACAACATTGGGTGGCTGTTTTTGAGGTATGCAAGAATATATTGCACCTTGTATCTTCCTCAAAGCCATCCACTATTATATACATGCCTGTCGCTCACCTTGAGCAGCACCAGATCGATCCACAGAATTCTGTTCAACAGTCAACTTCTCCATCAACCATGGTAGCAGATCATCAAAGCTACTCTCTCCCATGCCTTTCACCATAGCGCCTAAAGCACGGGCTGAAACCTTCCTGACTTCTGGTACAGGATCTAGGAGAGAGGCTTTAAGACCTGGCATCACTGATGGAAGGTAGGGAGCCAGATCCTATCACCCACAAAAAAAGAAGACACACTGTACCAGAGATTTTGGGGGCATTCTTGGTGTGGTAAGTGAAAGAAATGACCTGTTGTTTGTAAACATATTTGAGCCAAGAGCAATTGCATGGCTCACAGTGGATCAAAAAGGATAGCACCTTTGATTAAACTTCAGGTCACCTGACAGATAAGTGCACTCTTATGGCCAACACAAGTCTTATTTGATCGACAGGCATAATGCCTATACTATACTGAAACTTCCCTGTGTGTATCAAATCATACACATACTCTAGCAATTTTCAAGAAATGGAAAAGTACAGCAAATGGAAAATGTTATTTGAAACCGCCAAGGTTTCCAGGAAAATTATGAAGTACCCACCACCTACAACACTTCAAGCTGGAAAATTATATAAATAATACAGGACAGAAAAATCTAAAGCAATATAATGACAAACAAGGACAAACACTAAAACACAAAAAGATTAAGGGGAAAGCAATGAAATCATTATGAAGCTAATTAATTCTAAACACATTCCTGAAATGTTTTGGTGAATTTTTCTAATTAAACCATTATTCAACCTAGAATGTTCTTTGGGACCATTACACTTGACACACCCAAGCCTTAGGCTGGGCAGCAATAATCTTTTGAATTGCCAACAAATATGCATAGGTCTATTACTCCAATTGGTAAATGAATATATTCCATGTTTATGGGTCAACTTTCTTTGAATGTATGGCTGACTGCAAAGGTGTAACATCTCTGTTGTGTACAGAATATGAATTTGAACTCTATTCCATCCCAATCTTGACAAGAGAGGTGTTTTTAGCAATGTTTTTTCCTAAACAATTTCTTCTTGTCAACACCTGAGCCTAAATGCTACCCACCTTTTGGTCGGTCAGTGAGTACATATTGCCGATAATCTGGGCTGCCATTTTCTTTGTGTCTGTGGACCGATCTAGGAAGGCTCGCTGCACAACTGGCATGATGAGGGCAAGCGAGGGCGCATCAATGAAGTGGACAAACTTGGTAGCTAACAACACCTGCAAACATTTTGAGGTTTTGCCTGATGGATTGGACAGTGCATCCAACAGCATGGGTACAATGGCTGAAAAATGGACAACAAAACAGCCAAGCAAAACATATCAAACATGGGCAACGATGGGCAACTATATCAGTAGCAAGTCCAAAGAGGCAGAAGCATCTTAATAATGCTTCCTGACCCAGCTTATGTCCTAACCTTCCTATACTCCTGAAAATTTATCAATTGGCTTTGCAGGGTGTTGGGAGATACAGACTGCCTCAATTACTTTATATGGGTCTTGAAAGAAACAAAGACTATTTCCCTGGCTTTCTGTGCTGAGGTGGATTTGGAGGATTCATAAGGATTCCAGCAAAATCACCACAGTACTTGGGGTTTAACGGTTTTTAGACTGGAGCACTTATAACAAGTCTAGCCACCAAAGTGCACAACACATTAACCCTAGCCTTTACTGTTTAGGAAGATGCTTAAATCATTGTTAACCACTTCCTGCCGGGGACTCCGAAATCGGAGCCGTATGGTTTATATGGGTGGCCGGGGTCTCCG